TGAATCCCTCCAGTGGAATTATAAACCCCTAGGAAGGATAACTGAATCCCTCCAGTGGAATTATAACCCCCCAGGAAGGACATCTGAATCCCTCCAGTGGAATGTAAATCACCCTGCGTAAAGTTTTGAATTGTAAAAAGCATTTTTTCAAACCCCCTCCAGTGAAAAAGAATTCCCTCCGGTGGTCTCCAGTGAAGTAAAAATCTTACTACGAACTTCCGTGACTCGATTTCCTACCTTTCACCTTTCACCTTGTTTTATATCCTTCATTATAGCCATTCATTTTACATTAACCACAAAGATCTGTAAAAAAAAATGAATTTATTTTAAGTATCATAAAAAATAGTTTTACCCCAAGAGGAAAAAGATGTTACTTTTTAAAATCTTTAGAAAAGCTACTCTGCAAAACTTTGAAAAAATATTGTCGAGCAGTTTATATTCTAATTTCAATTTCTAAAATTTTCTTGTCGCGCAATGTAGATACTAGATATGTTAAGATCATAAATAAATCTAATATGGAAATGACATTACATAGAAGTAAAATGTATCATCATTGCCCATTCCCTTTATTATAAGAAGCAAATATGTCGAGGTCTCGTTTTTACAAAAGTTTTAGTTTAAAGTATCTTAAAATTTTGTGTTAACAGTGAATTTAGACAAATCCTTAGTCTTTGTCATTGTCAGGTGTTACTTTTTAAATTTCCTTTTAATCTTGTATTTTCCAGGGGGGCATGGGCCCCCCTGGAACTCCCAGGGGGGGCAAGAGGACTACTGCCCCCCCCCCATGTACGCCACTGCAGTTTAGAATTATTTAGAATGTTGACTATAAAAAATTTGAAATATCTGAAGTTGCACATTTAAACTATTTTCGTGCAAATTTTAAACAAATTCTGGAGGGGGGGGGGTAATTACCCCCAGGATTCTAGGGTGGGGGGAGGGGTAATCAACCCCAATAACCTGGCCTATTTACGCCACTGTGTACATGCACCCTCCCTCCCCCATCCATAATTTTCAATGCCCCCCCCCCTCGCCGAATTGAGTTGAACCTGCACTCCCTGCACTGCATGAATAGTTTAACTCGTTAAATACGCAATAAGTTGTAATATATATTTTTTGGCAACAGCTGAACTTGTAAGTCCCGTTCATTTTTTTTCTTCTCATATTACAATTATTTTACGAGGTAGAATGGGAGGGATCGGGGGCGGTCACGGAGGGATTTAATATAAGTTCAAAAAACTGAAATAATCAAAATGAAGAAAAAAAAACTAAAAAAAACTTTTCCTGAAGTATAAGCAATTATAATAATGTGGTAATAATAATTTGCGTAATTCTTTTCATATATCCCAACAAATATATAGACCAGGAACGCCCAACTCAGATATACGCAAATTGTGTACTGTACACTGTGGGAGGAATGTAAACAAATCCAGTGCCCCCACAGCAGTTGAAGAGAAAGGATTAAACACTGATAAACAGAGTGATGTTACAGTCAAAAACAAAAGAAACTAGTTAATATATTAAGTTAGTGCGGATACAAATTATTTATTTAAATATGATTTTTGGGTTTCAGATCAATATGGAAAATTTATTCATGCTCAGTGAGATTTGTTCAACTATAAAGGAGAAGCAAGGTAAAAAGATTCCCACTTATCCTTGTTTCCGAGGTTTAACTNTCCCCCCCCCCCTCATAATTGATGTTTTGCCCCTGAATTCTTTGTTTTGATCGCCTCCCACTGCAGTACACAAATTTGACGCATTAGATATGGCGGTTCCTGGTCTATATATTTCTTGATATATCCCAACCCTGGCTAAATGCGTATAAGGGGAGGTAGGGTTTATAAACCGGTTTTGTTGTTTAGTTAACTATCTATCGATCAAACGGAAAGCTAGACTCAAGAATCAAGATTCAAGAATTCAGACTTCAGAAGTTCAGAAGTTTCAGTTCAGTCTGTTTCAGTTAGACAGAGACTTCGCTCATCGCTGTTCACAGTACGGGCACAGAGTTTGCTGTTCTTTCAGTTTATTTCAATGTTTCGTCCGCTGAACCGCTAGATTTCTAGTTTTAGATGATATTTGTTTCATGTTTAATATTCCCTTTCATGAGCAGAATTTCTGCATTTATACGCAATTAGGGTCGATGAAAAGTGAAGAAATTGACAACTGCAATAACAAAGGTAATAACAAAGGATTCAATGGAGGGGTCTGTCCTAGTATACGATTTTTGGACCCCCCCCCACCCCCCTCCTATCAATTTTGTACATGACCATTTATTTTTCAGCAAATTTATTATTATTTATTTTTTTGTTATTTAGGGTTAGGTTAGGTTAAGATAAGGCCGAGCGCTGCGGCCACACTTTCTGGGCCGAGCGCTGCGGCTAGGATGGGCTAGGGGGCCGAGCGCTGCGGCCTTCAGCAAGTTTATTATTATTTATTTTTTTGTTATTTAGGGTTAGGTTAGGTTAAGGAAAGGCCGAGCGCTGCGGCCACACTTTCTGGGCCGAGCGCTGCGGCTAGGATGGGCTAGGGGGCCGAGCGCTGCGGCCACGGGTTAGGTTAAGTTAAGAAACTTCCTGTCAGACCCATGTACAAAATTGATAGGAGGGGGGTGGGGGGGGGGGTCCAAAAATCGTATACTAGGAAATTACCCAATGGAGATTGCGAGTACTATTTTGTGCCCCGAATTTAAAAGACAGTGAAAAAATAATATTTTAAGAAGAAAAAAACATAAAACAGGACATAGTACAGTTCGTACGGTTCTTGCAATTCAGGGAGTGCAGGACCAGGGGGAGGGCAGAAGGATTCCATATCGTTTGCACTAATGTCCGATTAAACTAATGTTATATACTTTTGCACTAAAGTCAGCTGATCAGTAACACTGTGGCCGCAGCGCCCGGCCCCCTTAGAGCCTGTTCTAGCCGCGGCGCTCGGCCCCTAGCCTGGCCTAGCCGCAGCGCTCGCTCTAGAAATTGTCTTAACCTAACCTAACCCTCAAATAAAACGTTAGTCTGAATGAACGTTAGTGCGAATGTACGTTAGTCCGATCAATCATTAGTGCAAATGATACGACACCGGCAGAAGTAAACAAACGCCACCCAAACGTGTTTTTGAGATAGATCATTACTTTGGGCGCGATGATTTAATTTTTAATAAACAGGCAGCCCGACCTTTTGTATCTGAACTCCAATCATGATATGCAGTCATTAATTCAGCGAATTGGATCAAAGGTTCGTAAGTTTTTACTTCATGTGGCGTACTTATCGAGGAGCAATAAAGAAATCTTTAACAATATTGTACACCATAGGACTATTAACAGAGGTCAGTACTCAGTATGGTCTTATTTCTAAGAAATGAACGGTATAAAGTTAACTCTTTTATTTTTAATTACCAATCGACGAGCGTGCATGCCGCAAAACACGTTTTAGTGGCGTTTGTTTAATTTTGCACTCCCCCCCCCCTCGCAGGTGTCATTGCAGATTTCGAAGCACCTAGACATGTGAAAACAATACATAAATTTCACATTTTCAGACATTTTTTAATAATATACGGATACTGGATATAGATTTTGTGTTGGATTAGGCGTAGTTTGATGTAGTTAGGTAGGTTTAGGAAGAGGGTCAAGAGAAGTTAGGATTAGTTTGTGTTACAGTTAGTTTGTGTGGTTAGTAAGAGAGTTTGCGTAGTTGGAAAGAGAGTTTGCGTAGCTAGAAAGAGAGTTTGCGTAGCTAGAAAGAGAGTTTGCGTAGCTAGAAAGAAAGAGAGTTTGTGTAGTTAAAAAGAGAGTTTGTGTAGTTAAAAAGAGAGTTTGTGTAGTTAAAAAGAGAGTTTGTGTTATTAGAAAGTGAGTTTGTGTAGTTAGAAAGGGAGTTTGTGTAATTAGAAAGGGAGTTTGTGAAGTTAGAAAGAGAGTTTGTGTAGTTAGAAAGGGAGTTTGTGTAATTAGAAAGGGAGTTTGTGTAATTAGAAAGAGAGTTTGTGTAGTTGGAAAGAGTGTGTGTGTTATTATAAAGAGAGTTTTTGTTGTTAGAAAGAGGGTTTGTGTAATTAGAAAGAGAGTATGTGTAGTTGAATGAGAGTTTGTGTATTTAGAAAGAGGGTTTGTGTAGTTAAAAAGAGGGGTTGGTGTATTTATAAAGAGGGTTTTCATAGTTAGAAATTGAGTTTTTTATTTAGAAAGACAGTTTGTGTCGTTAGATAGAGTTTGTGTAGTTAGAAAGAATGTTTGGTGCTGTAAGTAAGAGGGTTTGCGTAGTTAGAAAGAGAGTTTGTCTAGTTAGAGAGACAGTTTGGTGCAGTAAGAAAGAGGGTTTGTGTAGTTAGAAAGAGAGTTTGTGTAGTTAGAAAGAGAGTTTGTGTAGTTAGAAAGAGGGTTTGTGTAGTTAGAAAGAGTGTGTGTTGTAGTAAGAAAGAGGGCTTGCGTAGTTAGAAAGGAGTTTGTTTATTGTAGAGTTTTTTTTTGTAAATAGAATTAGGTTTATCGAAGTTAGGAAAATGTTTGGTTGTGGTAAAATTATGGTTTAGTAGAAAATTCGTTGAAGTTAGTTAGAAAAAGGATAATTGAAGTTAAAAAAGTAGAATTTTAAATATTAAAAGAAGAACTTATTAATAATATTAATTGCTACTAATTTCAATTTTTCTTTGTTACTTATATGATTATATTTGCGAAAATATTATCATTATTTGCAAACTGTCACCCTATTGTTATGACGTAGATAAAAGTGACATTTTTAAACAAATAAAGTAATTTACATAAGAAATATAAGAGCTGAAGATTTAAAGCTCTAATACCAACGCAAATATTACGTCTTAAGTCAATATTATCCTGCTTACAAACTATATTTATAGTAAAAACATTTCAGATATGAATACAAAGTGAAAGAGAAAGCACGACTGAGAAAGCTTGGAGGGAAAGCTGATAAAGTGTTGTGAAGAACGCATGTGTAAACATAAATACGCAGAAAATCTACGAAAGTCTGACACAAAGGCCTAAATAGCTAGTCTGCACCGAAGTATAGGATGGAGAGGGTTAAAGATTATTTAGTTGGTATCCAGGTACCCTCCTACTCTCAGATCAAGAGTGGAGAGTATTTTCGAAAGTTTCTTCAGACGCCAGAAAGACCAAGTTCTAGTTTTATCAAAGATTTTGAGGTTAGTTCAATTTATTGATAGAAAATATCAGTGTTATTATTATATCATTATCATTTGTAATCTTTGTTTGATATTTTGTTTGGTTTATAATTTTTTAAAAAGTACTATTTAAGGGCTAAATCCCCAACCCGAACCCGGTCACGTACATTTTATGCTGTGGCCGAATTTAAAGAGTTTGAGTGGCGGTTTAAATTTAAGCCACGGCAATTCCATCTCTGGACGATTACATTACGATTCATTGGTTTAACACTAAAAATATTCTATTCTTCAGAGCAGCCTTGTTTACATACAAGAAGTGTTGTTATGGACGGATAGAACCACAAGTTTAACCTGGCTGGTCATCTCACAGCTGTTCCTTTATCAGTTCTGTCTAGCTGATACACCAATTATCAGGTTTTTAGATTATTCAGAAATAATTAGCTGATACACCGATTATCAGGTTTTTAGATTATTCAGAAATAATTAGCTGATAAACCAATTATCAGGTTTTTAGATTATTCAGAAATAATTAGCTGATACACCGTTTATCAGGTTTTTAGATTATTCAGAAATATTTAGCTGATACACCCATTATCAGGTTTTTAGATTATTTAGATGATTAACCATTTATCAGGTTTTTAGATTATTTAGAAATAATGAGCTGATAAACCAATTATCAGGTTTTTAGATTATTTAGAAATAATGAGCCGATTAACCAATTATCAGGTTTTTAGATTATTTAGAAATAATGAGCTGATAAACCAATTATCAGGTTTTTAGATTATTCAGAAATAATTAGCTGATAAACCAATTATCAGGGTTTTAGAATATTTAGAAATAATGAGCTGATTAACCATGTATCAGGTTTTTAGATTATTTAGAAATAATGAGCTGATAAACTAATTATCATGTTTTTAGAATATTTAGAAATAATTAGCTGATAAACCAATTATCGGTTTTATAAATAGCTGATAGTACCGATTATTAGGTGTTTATATTATTCAAAGATTATTATCTGATAACTCGATTATCAGGTTTTTAGATTATTTAGAAATTATTAGCTGTTAAACCAATTATCAGGATCTGGATCCAGGTCATGAACATTCCCTTTAAAAATTTGCTGTTTTTTTTTAACAAAAGATGAATGTTCAATTTTTTTCTTTTTTTTCGCATATTTGTATGCTAACAATTTTTTTAACAATCTCTTTTCATCAGTTAAGATTTGGGTTTTTAAAACAAAAAGTTTTTTTTAAAGTTAGGCGGATCCGCATATTTGTGTGGATTCGGATCCGGATTCAGGAAGTCAAAATGTTGCGGATAAAAATGTACATACCTTTAAAAATAAATTTATAGTCTCCTTTGCCCTCCCCCCTTTCCCAAATATTGCATTCATTAGATATCTGCAAATGCATTTCTATAAGTTCGCAAATTAAGATCAAATTATTGCGCAATAAAATTAGAATTAATTAGACCTAAAATATAACGTAACAGCAAATAAATAAATAAATATAGAATAAAAATGTTAAGAAAGTTTTTGTTGAGTTAATACAAGACATTTTTATAATTTCTCACAACACTGATAACAAGATAAACTCTATAATAGGACTCAATTTATGACTTTAAATATACAAGAGACAGTAATAAGTGATTTAATAAGTTACTTTTAATTAAAATTGCTTCGCAAGAACATCAAATACACTTGGTATTGCTATAATATCGTCTTCCTATTCCCCAGTCACCTGGTTATCAATGTAAAATTTTTTAATTATTTTGTGTGTTTAGTTCAACTGCTTATGTATGCCTGCTAAGCTACTTATATATAACATGGACGCAGCGGGTTTGGCCGACTATTAAAGTTCCTTCAGATCACACCCAGGTTAATATTTAAGAAAATATTGTTTCAATTTTTTGTATTCGTCTTATTTTTAAGTTTTTAGTTTTCACAATAAATTTTGAAGAAATAAAAGATTGTTAGTTTCTTGGGATAAAATAAAAATTATGCTCTATTTAAAGTTATCACAAGCTTGATATTTTTTTTCTCGATAAATTCAGATCATCAAATGATGAAATATTTTTTGTCAAAACCATATTTTTAGATATTATCTAAAGATAGAAAGTCTTAAAAATTGATAAATCAAAAGTAACTTAGCATCTCAGTTTATTTTTTTCTTTAATTTTTTGTATTTTCAGGGGCTCCATATATTATTTCATATACAGTGGTATAAAGTCCACCCCCCTCCCCATTTCACTCAGAAGTATGGTATTTGTTCTAGGGAGAGGGGGGGGGGGTATAAGTTATGATTTTCATAGGAAAATTAACAAACTTTCACTAAAAAAAAGATGAACTTGCCTTTTGATGTCCAATTTCAATAATATTTTCCATTGTGGTAGTAAACTTGGAGAAAAACGTTACAAATTGGAGAGCCGACACTTGGAACTATAATCACAGGCGTACTGGGGGGGGGGGGCTATGGGGCTCAGCTCCTTTTCCCCAGTATCAGTGAATTCTGATTTCCAGGGGGTTTATGGGCTCTAATGGTACCGAGCCCCCTAGTGAGAATAAATCAAATTCCTGAGTACAACCCTGACTACGATCATTGAACAAATCCAGACATGGACCCTCCTGAGCCCTGATACAATTTTAATATATGTGCAGGATACAGAGAGATGGTCACCCCTGAGCCCAAATATAATATTAATATATGTGCAGGATACAGAGAGATGGACACCCCTGAGCCCAGATATAATTTTAATATATGTGCAGGATACAGAGAGATGGACCCCCCTGAGCTGAGATATAATTTTAATATATGTGCAGGATACAGAGAGATGGACACCCCTGAGCCCAGATATAATTTTAATATATGTGCAGGATACAAAGAGATGGACACCCCTGAGCCCGGGTATAATTTTAATATATGTGCAGGATACAGAGAGATGGACCCCCCTGAGCCCTGATACATTATCTGCCCTTGAGCTGGAAACCCTTGTTAGCAAAATAAAACTTAGAACAGCAGAGGTAAACAGACAGAAGCATGTTTATTATTGTATAATAACTCCTATTGATGGCGAGTAATTAGTTAAAAAAATTGAGGCTTTTTGACATGTTCCATTAAAGGGAAAAATATATTCTTAGGGGAAATAGAATTTTCGGATAAAAAATATTAATGTAAAAAAAACTAACCAAATTTTTCATAGTTTCCGTTGGTTATCGAAAATCATTTTTTTTATATACCCAGACCCTTCCCTGGGGGACCTGGGGTCATGAGAGTTGGCACTAAAATTGAGCCCGTTGTGTTCAACTATTTTGACGTATATTAGATAAGACAAATATATCAAAATATATATATTGTAGTATTCAAAACTAACTCTAAACAATTATTTTTTTCTCTCCTGAATATAATATACTTAATGACATCACAAAATCAACAGTTTCCGACTTTAACATCTGGAAATTATACTTTATAAGGTCACATGTGTTATTATGTTTGAAATAAAACTGAAAATTTAAAAGAATTTCTTTTTTTGTCTCCTTTTCTGGATTTCATGCAAGTATGAAGTACTATTATTTTTATGTAGAATACTTACACTCGATCATAGGCGTACGACCAACCTCTCTTCTTTGGATTGTAGGGTAACCCCCCCCCCCTGTATACGCCCTAGAGCATACGACTTCATAACATAATTATTAAAATTCAAATACATTATTTTAAAATTCAATGTTGCACATTATTTATTAATTCATGTGAACATAAATGTTAAACTTTGGTTTAAACTGGGTTGAGTTAACTACTGTACAATAAAAGGACTGAAAGTGACCCTCCAATCAAATATGAGAATCCCCTACTGATAACGGTATCCTTTAAAGCTTTGTTTGATCAAGCATGAACTAGATATCAATGTTTATAATATGTATTTTGTCATTTAATTATTTCTAATTTTTGTTTCTCTACTAAAGTGACTTCCGCATTTCTACTGATGGAAAACATTTAGAAATGATCAGAATTAATCTCTTTTAAACCTGGAAAAAGGACAATTGTTTTCCACATTATTGATGAAATAAAGGTTTCAAGGGTATTGTTGTCAACTACACTACGCTCTCAGTCCCTATAAGAATGAATTCGTGCAATTACTAAGACAGGATTGATGTTAGAAAATACTTCATAAGAAACAATTTGTGTTAGTTTACTCTTCTATCAAGCTAAGGATCAATTAGGCAACAATTCCTTTCATCATTTTATTTATATATATGGCCTTCACGCTATTTCAGATTTATTTATTGCAAAAACTCGGCTTTTAAAACATCGAACTTTCGCTATGAATTGAACATAAACATGAACATGAACATGAACATGAACATGAACATGAACATGAACATGAACATGAACATGAACATGAACATGAACATGAACATGAACATGAACATGAACACGAACATGAACATGAACATGAACATGAACATGAACACGAACACGAACACGAACACGAACCGAACACGAACACGAACACGAACACGAACGTTTTTATATTTTCTTGGGGGGGGAAGATAAAAACATGGACATTGTGGTATGAAAACTGGGGGATGAAATAATCCCAGATAATTTTGTCCAGTGTTGTTCTTCTCCAAATTAGCTGATTTTCTAAACTGTTCTGAATCTTTAATTTAATCTTTTGCAAGGATTTCATGATAGAAACAAAAAACCTTTATGATAAGATTAAAATTAGTGTTTTTTATTAATATCTTTTCACCAATGAGCAATAATCATTTATGTGCAACTAAACATTTCTTTTTTCAAGTGAATGATGTAGATTGGAGGCCCGTGTACATATTGAAAATGCATATAACAAAAAATTATTCTTCGAAAAAACTCCGCCGCACTCTTCCTAAACTGTCCTGTCGATATTTAACAGTGGTCGATACAAACTGTAAAAGAGCAATTCTCGTAAAATTTAAGTTGTGAGAAATTACTTATCTAGATTTTTAATTGATAATAAAATAGTTAATGGCAAGTTTTCCCTGCACTTACGCATCGTGACTACGATCATGCCATTCCTCCAGGTGGTACCCCTCCTAGTGTAGGTGGCAGGGCTGGTTCAGAAGTTTTCTTAGCGGTACGGTTCGGATATTTCTGTAGGCGGTCTGGGTTGCTCAAGATAGGGGTTCTTGCAGATCTCATATCACAAATCATCTACAATGAATTTGTACAAAAAAAATTTTCTTCAAATTCTGCAACAAGAATCTAAAAACATTTAAACTACACCATTTATATATGTATTTATATCTTTGCGTGTAAATAAACCTTTATGATTATAATAATTTCTAGAAGATGGGGAGGGGAAAGATTTTCAACCATATGTACCCCGACCCCATTATCTTATTATCTTCATATAAAAAGTAGTAATCTCTGTTTGTCCGATCATAACTCAAGAACCTCTTGCCCGATTTGATTTGGGGACAATGTATAACCAAGGTAATGCTTCTACCCTGGTTTAAGAGTTCTAAGTATCTAGGTGGGTTACTAAACTAGGGGATTATATTGGAATACATTTATTTCTGTATGTTGGTATTAAATCTATCTTTATATAATCATTTTTTAGATTTATTCTGGTCTGTTGCTACTGAGGGTAGAATACCCTCTCAGATTTTGTATTATTATGTCTGTATTCTTCTCTTCTTTAGCATTATTAGGTAATTTTTTATCATTTTCTTTTCTCACTTACTCTCAAAATATTTAGAGTTTTGACCTATTTTTTCTCGGTAGCTTAATTTATGTAACTGGAGTAATGAGTCCCATCAACGATTCACAAATTGGACTTAAAATCAAAGTCTAGCAAGAAGATGGCAATGATTTGTCCGAAAAAAATGTTGTCTACTTTTATTCGTTAAAATTATTTTCTTACAAATCTGAAATCAAAATTAGAAAATTATATTTGATATTTTAAAATGTTTTAGGAACCAGAATTTCTACTCCATTGTTTATGCACTCGTTAGCTCTTTCACTGTTCTGCATTCCTACTCTTCTGATTCACTTATCTAGGTATAAAATGTTCTTACAAGAAGCGTCGGAATATGTATTTTTGTAAATATATCAAAGTTTGTTCTCAATATTTAGTCAGACTGTAACACTTCAAGATTTGTAAAAATGTAAAATTTTCCTGATTGTTAACATTATATATGCTTGCTTACCCATAAGATTTACTATTTCCGAAAAAAATTGATTGAATGATAAATGTTTGACGTAACAGACATTAGACAGTGCAAGCTTTGTGTGACTTAAGTTGCGTAACAAACCATCTATTCCAAGAAAATATTACAAAATTAGAGTTTACGTTTTTGTTTCCACTCTTAATTATTTTTAAAAGATGATTTCTTAGGAATCCGTTTAAATTGAACCTTAAAATAAATCCTTGCTTTCTATACCTACGACTGGAAATTACGCATTCCCGCATACCTTTTATATTTTGTTTTTATTTGGACTGATTTCTTCGAAGCGCATTTCGAGGAAATATATGAAGAGGGGGGGGGGGGCTTCTATCCAGAAAATTATTCATTTTTGAAGATTTTTAACTTTAAGTATTGTTCTATCATTTTTTATTTTTTATTTTGGTGTTTCTATTTACTTACTACAGCCACGGTTTCCTCTGTGAAGTGAAAACCGCAGACATTTTTTCGCATGCTTTGTTGCACAAATATTTGCAATTAATCTTACAGAAATTGGATATTTTTGTTCGTGAGACTCAATCATTTCTGAAGAACAGGGTTGTTCAATTTTCTGGTATGGCCGCAAGCGGAAATTTAATTATAAGTTGAAACTTGATAGGATCTTTATCTTTTGTAGTTGATAAAAAATATAGATTTGGAAACGTATTTGTAAATCTTCATGTAAATATTTTTAAACATTTTTAAGAAGAATCCCCCCCCCCCGGATTTTCAGTGATCGGGGGGGAGGGGGAAATTCTTTAAATCAGTGAGAAAAAATTGTGTTCAAAAGGGGTGTAATGATTTTTTTTAAATTATATCTTTTCTTTAATCAAATATATTTTAGAAACAAGAGTTTAGAACCAAGCTTGCTCCTGGCTGGAGAAATATTGGTTAGTCTCACCAACCTTGCAGTTTACAGGGGGAAATCTGCACCACCTCAGGTAGTTACAGGGTGAAATCTGCCCCACCTCAGGTAGTTACAGGGTGAAATCTGCCCCTACTCAGGTAGTTTCAGGGGGAAATCTTCCTCACCTCGGGTAGTTACAGGGAGAAAACTACCTCACCTCGGGTTGTAACAGGGGGAAATCTGCCCAACCTCAGGTAGTTTCAGGGGGACATCTGCCCCCACCTCAGGTAGTTTCCGGGGGAAATCTTCCTCACCTCGGGTAGTTCCAGGGGGAAATCTACCTCACCTCAGGTAGTTACAGGGAGAAAACTACCACACCTCAGGTAGTTTCAGGAGGATTGATATTTTTGGTAATTTTTTGTTGTTCAGGAAAATGTTGAATTAGAAGAATTCCTTCCGGAGCAGAGTTCAGAAACCCTAGCTAGTCTAGATATTCATACCAAACCAAATATAGATAAGGAACCAGGTACTGCACCCAATTTGATCGATCAAACAACTGATTGATTTATTTATTATTACTAGTTCTGCAACAAGGATGATTTTTTGTGATTTCTTGTATTGATTCGTTGAGGGAGGAAAACTTTTGTTGGAATATCGACTAGCTTTACCAACTAAACTGATATTCACTGCCTAAACTTTTTGTTTCTGATTCATAAATTTTGTTCGTTGTTTATGTTGGTTTGTTAAATATTTATGTTTCGATTTAATTAAATTGGATTTAATCCCGAATCATGCTTTTTGTTTGTTTCAGAGGATAGTTTAAGTACGAGTCTTGGGACTGACCTTTGTATTCCGTCCCACGAGGAGGTTGACCAGCCTAGCCGACCTAGCCTTGACCTCGACGCTGATCTTATACCAGCTGATAATATTGATGAGTAAGTTTTATTTTTTAGGATAGAAAGAAATGTTTTTTTTTTAAATAGATTCTAAAATTAGCATACAATTTGCATCCAGTAAAAATGTGGTGTAAATGAAAGGAAATATTAACAACTATAAAATTTAAAGATTTTTAACGAGGTAGATAAAGAAACAGTTGAGGTTACGTCAAACTGAAGTAAATTCAAATTGAAATCTTAAATGTTTTCGGTCATACCTCCTTTTATTGAAGAGTAATTGAGAAGAACAAAAATGTTCTTAATTATCTAATATCAATTAGTATTATGTAACCAAAAAATTTGCTTTTCTCATACTTGTGTATAAAAGTCATACAAGCTAAGCTAGAGGAGCTACGAGGTCAAAAAGCCAGCGATGTAGCACAAATTTTAGTTTTTAGGGGAAAATGATATTGTTTTTAGTGATGTTTCTGACGTGGATGAGGTTGAAGGCCCTGTTGGACGGATCAAGGGTGTTGATGAGTCAGATTCAGATGATGCTGATAATATGTTCAGGTTGCTTTCCTATTATTTCCCCTGAAGCAAGGNTATTAAACTTTTTACTTGTAAATTTTTTAAAATATTTTTTTTCCAGTTAACATGTTGTAATCTGTTGTGTGTAGTTCTTGAGTTTTGTTTCTCAACATTCAAATTGATAAGATTTACACAAATTTAAAGTTAATATTTTAGTTTATCTACAACAACAACAACATCCATCTTGACCTCCCAACTATCCTCGTTGTTACCAGCAGCCTCGGTTCTCCCAACCATGTCCTCCATCCTCCATCCAGAGAGTATATCACAAGTCCTCGGCAGCCTTCTCTCAGATAACAGTCTAGGGGCCAGGCAAGCTAGACAATCCAGTGAACCTGATCTTGAGGATTTCGAGCTCATATCCGAGGACGAGCTGGAGAAAGAGAGTCCTTGAATCCTAAAGAAAGTTGAACATTCAGAAATTCGGAAAATTCATAACAAGAATCTAATTGCGGTTTTTGTGCTAAAACCAATGGTAAACGAAAAATACCGTAAGGACGCGACTTTCGAACACAAACAATTTTACTACGGCGGTGGTAGGCGATAACATCAATATAATGAAGACTACTTTTTATTTAAGATTTTAGTGTTAACAAGTTTTTTTTGAAATACATGTTTACGAGTAATTAAAGAGAAGCCTTTTTAAATAAGAGCTTCTCTTTGTTTCCATTTATTTTTGTATTCACACTGTTTTAAAAGCTTGATATAAGTGAAACTGATAGTCGTCTTCATTGAATTGGTATATTCGTGTCCCACCGTATGATTTTATTTGTTAATATCTAGAACTAATTTAATCAAATTTACGTTTATTTATTCACATTAAACTTAAATTAAACTAAGAGTTTCATTTTTTTCTGACTGAAGAAAATATCTTAAAACGAATTATGGTATTAATCGTGTGTGTTCAAGTATTAATGCCGACGTTTATTAAACAATTTGGAAAAGTTACCATTTCTAATGTATTTTCATCTTTTAAGTTTCTTAACTTGAACATTGTATCATCATCCTCTATAAAGATTATATAACCGGTTATGATTTTATACAGGAAGGAAAATTTTACAAGAAAATCCTGAAAATTTATCGTAATTGTTTTTGTATTTATCGAAGTTAAAAATCGACTCAATCTGGTTAAAAATTAGATAGACCTAATACTTACAAGCTTTGGAATATACTAAGAATTGATTGACTTAACCCAAGAATGTTATCTTTTAGTTTTCTGTAAGTGTTCAATTTACAAATTATTTATCTAATTTTTTAGACTTTCTATAATTGCATATACTAGTCATATTATATCTGAGTTGTGATCAAATATTTATTTTTATAAAACACGTGTAACATTTAATCCAGCAATTCAGCTTGGGATTGTTCAGTTGATAGATAAATAGGACATAATGATTTATCTAGGAAAACCATACTCTCTCACTCTTCAGCTAAGATCCCCCTCCCTTCAAGACCCCCCCCCCTCCTCTTCATCCAAGGATCCCCCCTTCCTCCCATCTTCATCCAAGGATCCCCCCCTTCCTCCCTCTTCATACAAGACCCCCCGTTTCCTCTCACTCTTTATTTAAGACCCCCAGCCCCCTCCTTCATCTAAGACCCCCGGGCCCCGTTACTCTTCATCCAAAGACCACCCACCGGCCCCTCCCTCTTCATCCAAGACCCCCTCTCAATGTCTTCATCCAAGACCCTCCCGTTTCCCTCTATGAAACAAAATAATCATTTTAGAACTCCGTTTGTCCTCATAGTCCTTCATGCCGGTAATATCACTTCAAAAATGGCACAATTGTTTAAAACATTGACCTTAGGCGACTTACGCAGATCATTAATAAATCGGCACTTTTTTATTAGAATATATTTTTGTCCAATTTCAGACAGTCATAAAACCCTATCTCATGGGGCAGTAAGATATCAAATTATACCTGCTTTTTCATTTATAAATTTTTTATAAACTTATCTAATCCAAAATGTTCAAAAATTCTAAAACCTGTTAGAACTGTGTATAATGTTTCAGTCTGAAATATATTAATTAACATATCAGCTCAATTTCATGCACAAGTTGCAGAGGAAAGTAATTTAAACCTAAGAAAATGGGAATTTTTAAAATTCTAGATGAGATGTTTGTCTTGTAAAACGGAACCGACCACTCGTAACAAACTATTAAGTCTTGTAACTTTATTTCAAACTATAAATTCTGCAAGATCCAAGTTTTTATTTCAAACTATACAATATACATTCTGCAATACCTAAGATGAAGTTTGAAATTTTGAAAACACGGTTTCTTGATCAGGTTGGAGAACTATGTGATCCGGCTCTAAGATCATCATAATTTTATTTTGTTTTTCATTATTTTTAATGAATATAAATATTATCAAGACTTTAATAAAAAAAATATATTTGCAAGATTAAAACACCTGAAATTATTAAGACAGAAACAAGAATTATGCATTAAAGAATATTCTAAAACAAAGACAACCTGCCGTCTCCGATTTGGCTGAATTTTTAATACAAATCTTATTGTTTAAATTTTTTTAATCTATTCGTTAAACATTTTTTGGTTCTCTGTGATTAGTGTTGGGGGCAGCAAACCTTTAAAAAAATTGTATACAAGAGAAAAATGCGTTTCCATAAATCCTCTAATATTGTTCTGGAAAACTACCAAATTGTTAACTAACTTAAATCCAATCTCAGGTAATTGGGGAAATAATAATTTTAAAATATTCAAGGGGTAAATTTTAAAATTTATACTTTAAAAATAACTTGGTAGCTATTTCAAAACATTTGTTATACTTTTTTGTAAAATATATTTACATAACTTTTAAATCATTTTCTAAAAAATATTTGGCTATCGGATTCCTTGAATTGTTAGGTGGCATTAAAAACAATGTCATTTTTTCCAATTTACACTCCATTTATGGATTGTATTACATCCGCCCAACGTTACATCCGTCCTACTATACTTCGGACCTACCCGCACGTGGTTTTTCAGCAGCTTCTAGCTGCTGTTGGACCGATGAACTGTGTGACGGATACACACTCAATTGAAAAAAGTTAATTTGTATCCGACCTAATCTAGATCGGTTGCACACTTAACTGCAGTAGGTCGGATGCACTGCATTTGTAGCTCAGATGAACAAACTTAGTAGGTCTGATGTACAACATTTGTTGGTCGGTTGCCAATTTTTTTAGGTCGGATGCACACATTTCGTTGGTCGGATGGACAGTTTTGTAGGTCGGATGAACACTTTTTGTAGGTCGGATGCACAAGCTTTAGAACTCGAAATGTTTTTTACACCCATTCATGTGAATTTGAAATAAAATTATGTTTATTTTGCATTAAGCGGTGTATAAAAATTCAGCCAAAATGTTCCCTTTTGTTTTAAAATGAAATTATACCTTCACATTGGCTCAAATATCAATTTTGTTACATTTTTCAATCGCCGAAAGTTCTATAATGATTTTCAATAGTTTTTTTAAAGTTAATCTAGCACTAAGATTCTTGATTCTTATATTCAGAAAAGAATCCAAAACCAAATATTAATAACAGTTGAAAGAATCTGAATAAATTTCACAATAAAATGTATTTATAAATTCATAAAACTAATAGTCTTGAAATAAAATCACAGCCTTAATTCTTAAAAATAAATTTCGTTTCACATAAAACATGGGGACTTGATGCATGCTTTCTCATGAATAACTTTCTAAGACAGGTAAAATCAAAATGGTGGTTGACTGTAGATTGTCTCTTGTGGACTACCCTGGGAAACAGCTGAGTTCCGCTGAAGAACACGAGCAGAGTTACCACCAGCTAGTCGCGCAGAGGGAGGACTACTATATAGTTCAGCTCCTGAGTTACCACCAGCTAGTCGCGCTGAGGGATGACTACTGTATAGTTCAGCTCCCGAGTTACCACCAGCTAGTCGTGCTGAGGGAGGACTACTGTATAGTTCAGCTCCCAAGTTACCACCAGCTAGTCGTGCTGAGGGAGGACTACTGTATAGTTCAGCTCCGAAGTTACCACCAGCTAGTCGTGCTGAGGGAGGACTACTGTAACGATCAAGGCCAGAGGCTCCCCTTGCTTGAGGAATAGGAACCACAGCATACAGCACTTGCTGTCCAGGTTTTGAACCTATGTACTGTGGAGTGTTAACTGGATAAGATGGCTCCTCTACCGGTGGATTACTGTAGACCGTGTCATCCTTTACACTGCTGATAGGAACAACAGCATACAGAGAAGATGGAGGTTTAGAGTAGATATTGGGATCAGTTGTTGATTTCGGAATATTAACAACATTAGAGGCTGAATCAATAGCTGCTGGTATGGGAACAACTGAATAAAGTGGAACTTGTCCTTGTTTAGCTCCCAGATAGTATGGAGGAGGCAGGTAGAAGTTCTGCTTCGGCGAGGACGATTCAGGGTCAACAGTATCTCCGGTATCTACTAGAGGTACTACAGAGTACAGAGATCTAGTTCCTGGATTAACAGGAGCAGTTAATCCATTGTTTCTGGATTTAAAAAGAGTATTTTCTCCAACTACAGGAGGACTGCTGTAAACCGGAGGGCTACTATCCAGTGAATCAGAGGACGGAAAATGTCTAACGAAGGCAGATAAAGGCGGATTACTGTAGATTTGATCATCGACTGTGTCAACCATTCTGGCCTGGAGTCCCCAATCAGTTGCAGAGATCTGAAAAATAAAATGATAATTTCAAGATGATCATAAAATTATATGCAACTGTCTAAAACCTCCGTTTTCACATCTATGTGAAGGGAGGGGGGCTGATAAAGAAAATATTTACACAAAAACAACCTAATTATTGATGCAAACAAAATGTCATTCCAGTTCACAACAAAAAAAAAACATTCTGTATGAATTAATATTCTTTCTTTTAAAACAGTCTTCTGCATTGATTTTTTTTAATGGCCTATTTAATGTTTTACGATCGAAAGAATCAAGTAATTGCCCGACCAGACCAGAGAGCGTTCTTTTCTTCTTAAAGAGCTACGTCTCGGCCCATTAAAAGAGCGCACCTCTTTCTTAAGCAAACCTCGTCTAAATGTTACGATTTCAACTCGTTTTTCGCCGCATCTCATATTTTGTCTGGGTATCAAATTCACATCCCCCCCATGTGACCCCCCACGTAGTTTCTCATGGTTTTGAATTGAGCAGCTTGGAGCAACAGCTTGACAGCTTTGACAGTGAAATTTGAACCCAGAAGAAAGCCCGTTTGATTCGACGCTTTTTGAAGCATTTTCTGCGCAGAAAAAGGTCACCAAAGACTGCATATTTCAGCGCCTTTTAAAAGCAATCTCTGCGCCGAAAAGAGCGAAAAAAACTGCTAGTTAAACCGCGCAAGAAAACGTTTTTTTCGGCGGCAAAATTTTTGCTTTGAAATTAAAAAAAAAATTAATTTTGACATATTTCAACCATTTTGAGTCGCTATTAAAGACCCAAGTTAAGAAACGCACCAAAAANAAATTCGTGGTGGGGGGTCAAAATCTCACCATGTGGGTCGTTCTCTAGCGAGTCGGAAATGAGTAAATTTCTGCCCTTACCAATTCTTACCTTATAAGAGGGGTGGGGGATGGGGGGAGGAGCAAAATGATCTGCGTTTAAACAGAGTGTATTTCGTCTCTGGGCCAAAAAGGGAAGGGGGGTGAAGAATATGGGGGGAAAATGGAGGGGTCTGATATCGGGTTTCAACATATTTTAAAAAAATTCCTTTTTAAAATTTTGTAGCGTCGAAATCAACGCATTCGACGGGGTCTGCGTAAAATCTACGCTATCTGGTCTAGTCGGGTGTTGTTACAGGGAGTCATGAACTTTAGAACTTCGGCATAAATTAAGATTATTTTGGTATGTTTCTTTGCAAAAAACAGAGATACAGGGTTACCCACAAGAATGAGACTGTAAAGACGACCTGAAACTCTCCAAATATGACAATACTAAGGTTGAATTAACTATTTTGCTTTCAGTATTTTTTTTAAAAGACCTTTTTAATGCTTTGATATCAAAATCAAGTTTGTTGTTGCAGGAAATTGGATGAATATATAACAACCACAGCTGGGAAATAATACTCAAAACTAAAATGATCAAATTCAAGTTATTACATACAAATGTTTAAAATATTTTACTGCCTTCATATATTTGAAGAAATATCAAGAAATGTAAAAAAAATCTTCCAAATTGGATTTCAACATCAATTTAAGGATTTGAATTGAAATCCACAACTGAACTGAATGAATTTAATTTTCTCATGGGACGAGGTCATTGATAATATTTTTCTTAAAACATATTGTCCATTATAAACATGAATTAAGGAAATTGAGTTACATATTTTTAAAAACCATCCAACCCCCATTAAAGAATTACATCATAAAAAAGTATTGGAATTTAAAGATTTTGGTCATTTAATCATGCAGTAAAAAAATTAAATCAACAGATGAGAAAAAGTTACCTGGAAACAACAAAATAAAGTAGTTAATAATATAAAGGTGAAAGACATGTTATGTCATCTACACAACCAGCCTTTAACTACGTTAACTACTTAATAACTGGATTTGTGTTTACCAGAAACATTTAAATAAAGGGGCAACAATTATCCAGGTTGGGTTAGGGGGAGTTAGGGGGATCAAAGTAAAAAATTGTTTGCTAATTTTAATACCAAGAAAATTCTGGCTTAAAGAAAGGTGTTTTTTGTATATAGAACAAATCGGATGACCTATAACAATTTAGAAATATAGACTTAGTTACCGTCGTCGTCGCCTATATCAATTATCAATACAATGAAGACGACTTTCGATTACAATTTTGGCTTTATATCAAGTTTTTAAACAGCATTGATACACATAAACATGGAAGCAAAGAGCAGCTGTCGATTAAAACGCTTCTTTTCGATTACTTTTAAACTTGTAAATCTAAAACAACAATTGTTAACAATCAAAACTTAAATAAAAATCGTCTTCATTGTATTGATATAATCGCCTACCACTGTAGTGCTAATATACTCTCATTAATATATATTTGATAAGATTGAAGAATCATAATTGTGTAGAATTGGCCGGAGCTTTTTGACAGAATATTTTCGAACTTTTAAAATGTGTCAGTTCTTTCTCTTAAAAATTAAATAACTTGACAATTAAATTGAATTAATTTTTTTCGACCTGTAAAAATACCCCCCTTTCCCCATGAGTTTACCCTGAAGACAGTACACACACCATGCAGTACACAATCCAGTACACTTTGCAGTACACCTCCGACCCATAAATAATGTAATACCACAGACTAGATATATTACAGACTGCTTATAAGCTTTCAAGGGCTTGGCTTACTAGGCCTATAGTCGTACCGGCACGAAATACTACATTTCTACACGTTTTTGACTCTGCGTAATACCAGAGATAAAAGAGTACAGAGATATATTAAAGGCCAGGATATGCGATATTTTCCACTGCAGGTTCCATTGTGCAAAACTGGAGTACACGACTATAAAGCAGACGTGTCTGTATTCAGGAATATTTAAGAAACCTTTAGATACAAAATACAAAACTTTCATAAATAGACTTAATTAATAAAGAACCTGTCAAATCTTTCGTTGGGATGTTTAGAAAGATGAAAATTTCCCTGTATGATAATTGAAGGACTGCAGTATGGTTTTGGTGAATTATATTGACGTACTAAGCCTAGGGGTGTCAGAAATGATTTTTTTTGCATTTTTTTGAAAAC